GTGTGTGTGTGTGTGTGTGTGTGTGAGAGAGAGAGAGAGAGGGAGGGAGAGAGAGGGATTCCTCCCCTTCTCCTCCCTACGTTCATTCTGCCTTTCATTCCACCTCTCTTGCCGTGTTCTGGCTTTTCTTACCTTTCACTTAGATAAGAGATCAGCTAACTATGGCCTATAGGCCAAAGTAGCCCCCTGCTTATTTTGTAAATAAAGTTTTATTGTTAAAGTTTCATTACACACTCATTTATGTATTACCTATGGCCACTTTCCTGCTTCAGTGGCAGAGTTCAGTAGTTACATCAGAGACCATGTGACCCATAAAGCCTGAAATATTCACTGTCTGACCCTTTACAGAAAAAGTTTGCGTACCCCTGACCTTGACGGCTTCACCAGAGATGACTGCCTCGCATCTATGATAATAGCGCTTAAATTCCTGTCTGATCTGGCTCCCACCCTAGTAGTGCTGGGCTTGATATACATATTCTTCACTCAGATTGAAATGCTGTTTGCTCTGCCCTATATTCATGTTGTTTTCTCCTCCCTCTGGGTCTGTTCTTCTGTTCAGTGAAGATAGTAAGAGCTAACATTTTCCTGAACTTCACTTTGTGCAGGCACTGTGATAGATACAATGCAGTGTATCATCTCATTTAATTCTCATAGCAGTCTTCTGAGTTCAGATTGGCATTATGGCGACAAGTAATAATTGATAATTAAACCTGTTTTAGTGGGGTTGTTGAGAGAATTTACTGAAGGAGTGTATAAAGTAGCTGACACACAGTAGACACATAATAATGGTAGATCCTACTGTTTTTATTATGGTCTTTTAATCGAAGAAAGGCATGCAAAATAATACTGTTGATTTTACCTGGCCATCCTATTCCTAATTCTGTTCCTGGAGACACCTAATTTCAACTCTTAACCATTTCTTTTGGTATTAACTTACATTTCTTAAATATAGCTGTTTCTTGACTCTTTTCCATTTTAAATGTCATTTTGTTGACTTCACCACAACCATCCTCACCCACCCAGCACATTTTCCCCTTCCTCTATCTGCCCAGTGTGGTTATACTAGTGTTTTTGGTTGAAGGAATATTGTCTTTGTTTATTGAGGTAGGTGTTATTTGCAGCCAAGCCTCTAGTATACTGAGTTACATTTCCTTTGTTTTGTACCTCGTCCCCTGCCTGTTATTATTTACTTCTTTTGTTGTTGTTAGATACTGCCTTTTTTCTAGCAGCCAAGATAAATGTATTCTAACTTCAGTTCAAAGGAAGGCTCTGCTGGAAAGATACTGAGTTTCTCAGAGCCTCCCTGAGAGCCAGGCTGTGGGAGCCGCCGGCAGCCGCTGAGGGCAGCCCTCACCCTGGCCTCGCTCAGGGCCGTCCTCCACTTTCCCTTTTTTTCTTTGCTGTTTTCTCTGTACCAATCGCCAATTCCTACCTAAGCAAAATACCTTCCTCGGGTATGTCTGTCAGTTTCCTTTTTTCCTAAGTCATCACCCTCTTATTCCATAAATGGACTGGCTCTTCTCTAGGCCTGTTCTGTAGTTGTCATCCGAGTCTTCCCTTCACATCTCTCCGTGGATCTCCTGTTTCAGGAGCCCTCCTGAGAAAAGGCTGCATGGGAAGTAAAAATGTGAAATCTTGTGCATTCGGAAATGTCTGCATTTCATCCTGTACGCTCGATTCATGATTTGGTTGGGTACTGAGTTCTAGATTGGGAATCGTTTTCTCATAGTTATGAAGCACTGCTTTGTTGTGTCCACTGGTGTCTGAGGTCTGTGCTGACTGCCAGAGCTTTGACCCTGACCCATATTTCCTCTGCACTTCCTTGAGGCTCTTCTTTGTGCTCCTGGCATTCTGGGTTTTCAGAATAACATACCTAGTGTTGGTCTCTTTGTTCATTGTGCTGGGCACTCAGTGGGCCCTTCCATCTGGAAATTCATGTTCTTCAACCCTGGGAACATCAGTCATGTCTTTGCTTTTCCCCTCTCTGCAGTCTCTGCTCTCCCTTTCTAGAATGTATATCTATGGCCTGTGTGTTTGTATATATGTGTAATTTTCTGATCTTTTCCTGCTCGTTTTTCCATTTTTTTCTTTTCTGCCTTCCGTAAGGTATCCTCAACTTTATCTTGCAGGGTTTTTAAAAAATTTCTGCTACATTTGTTTTTCTAAGAGTCCCCTGTTCTCAGTATAGTATTTCCTGTTTGCTAAGCCAGTTACTACATACAAGATCCAAACAATTAGGGACTATAGAAGACAGGCTATGATTAGATGTTGAAATGTTTGGTACTGATAGTGCTATAAGATAAAAGGGTCTAGAGAAATTACTGTCTGCCAGAAGCATTTGGTCGAATAGGATCCGGACCTGGGTTGTAAGTCTGAGAGGTGAGGAACGGCAACGTTGAGTGGTTAGACAGGTATTGCCATTGGAACCAGGCCCAGCTGAGTCATTCTGAAACCTGTGAAAGTCCACCTTCTCTGAGCTCATAGCCTACCTTGTATGGTCCCTAATTGTTTGGAACTTGTATGCAGTAACTGGCTTAGCAAACAGGAAATACTGAGAACAGGGACTCTTAGAAAATGAAATATAATAGCAGAAATTTTTTAAAAACTGCAAGATAAAGTTGAAGATACTTTGCAGAAGGCAGAAAAAAATGGAAAAATAAGATCAGAAAATTACACACACACACACACACACACACACATGCCACAAGTATATATTCTAGAAAGAGAGAACAGAAACAGTTCCTTCATCTTGAATAGGATTGAGAATATCTACCCTCTGGGGTTGCTGTAAGGAGAGAAGTTACCTGTGTGAAGTGTTTGACACATAGTTGGGGCTTGTTACTCTTTATAAGTTCCTTGAGGCCAGAAAAATATCTTCTCTAGCCATGCTTTGTAGCAGTGCTTGGTACCTAATGGGCTCTTACTATAGCTAATGAATGAATGAGTGAGTGAGAATAAACGAATGAGGAAAGGAGAGCATTCCAGGCAGGGGAAATAGCAGTAACAGTGGCAGCAAGCTGAAATAAGCATGTTGCCTGGGAAAGGACTATTGAGATCTTGGCGTGACTATAAAGTTTGTATATTGACAAGTATTCACGGAAATGTGTCTGCACAGCTGGGCTGGTACTTTTTGGCGGCGAAGGGAGAGAGGACTCACAGAGGTAATGTGGAGCTTAAATTAATGACCAAATTGTAGTTAGAGAGCTTCTGGCTCCCTGAACTTGGGAAAATTATTTCTGTTCTGTCTACCCTAAAAGGTGGTGATAGTAAGGATAAAGTGGGCCAGTAGGTCTAAGTGTGCTGTGGAAATCTGTGGCAAAGTTTCATTGGCTTAGGAAGCAGGTAGAAGATACCTTTGTTTATCCATGTGCCTATAAAAGTAACATGGCTTTAAATCTTTGGAAGCAATAAACTAATAAACCATGAGGTGGATTATGTTTCACCAAAGAAGTATTTCTTCCCCTACCGTTTTCTTTAGTTTGGCTACAAATAATTTTCCTTTTTAATTTTCTCAGTATTTAGACCTATGCTTTCTAATCCAGTAGCCACTAGCCACATAAGACTATTGAAATAAATAAGATTTCAGATTGAGTCCTTCATTCATACTGGCCACAGGTCAAGTGTTCAGTGGCCACTTGGGCTAGTGACTACCATTCTGTCATCGCAGAAAGTTCAGCTGGAGAGAGTGCTGGGCTGGACTATATACAGAATTGTGTGCATGTGTGTATTTTTAAATACGTACTTTATTATTGTTGTATGTATTGCTTTTGTCCTCTTTGACTTTAGTTTTTAAAGCAGATAAGTGAAACCTGTTTCTTTTTTAAAATATTAAGCTGTTTTTACTGTTACGTGGGCCTCATCAGTTGGTGGGTTGGTTGGTCTCCTACGTCAGTGGCTTTCCATTAAGAACATCCTATTCCCCTACCTGAGTGAAGCTAATGGATTTTCTTAATTAGGGAAGTGGATGTAGAAGGTTGAATGATTCAGAGAGCTTCTAGCCTAATTGGAAATATAGTTGATTGTGTTTTACCTGATGTTATTTCCAGAATGTCTTTTTTCTTTTCAGATGCTAAAGAAAACCCTTACGGTGAGGATGACAATAAGAGCCCCTTCCCCCTGCAGCCCAAAAACAAACGCAGTTACGCTCAGAATGTGACTGTCTGGATCAAACCCAGTGGCCTGCAGGTAACATTACCATTCACATTGCTTTCTACTGGGGACAAGAGGGATTCTGGCAGGCAGGCAGGCAGGCATTTGATTTGATTTTCCTTGCCTTTGCTACTTAGTAATTCATTTACACCTAATGTTTGTCATTATTTCCAGAAAGGATTTGAGGTAGCCTAAAGTACAACATGTGTATAGCAAAGTCATTTCTTACAAAATTTAGAGCAGTGCAAAACCTAAAGGAAGAAGGGAAACAGTGCCAGGAACCGAAGCCACAATGATAATTGTATCTGAACAACTTGGCTCTGAGCTTCCTGCTGCCAAGGTCAAAAAGGAAACATGTAAGGTTATATGGTTTTTCTTACCTAATAAAAGGAAGCATGTCAGTTCTTATAGAGAGAACTTTTCCTAGCTTTGAATTTCACATTCCATGTTTCACATTTTCCTGGCATTGAATGTCTGTGTAAAAGTTTTGACACGTTGAGATGTTGAGTAACATAATGGGTGTCATCTTTAACCACAATTTTGAGAAAGATGTAAAAATCCTTATGTAGTTATTTCTTCCATCTCTACAGTAGAGCCATAGCATCACTGTAATTCCACAAAAACACTTCCAGGGGCAACTAAGATTATGTTATCAAGGTTTGCTGCTCTCAGGCAAGGTACTCAGGGACATTTCTCCTTCCATTGACATAGTCATATATACCTGTTTTTAAAAATCACTTTTTGAGCCTTTTTTCTCATTTGAGCACGATTTTTTTTCTTTTCTCCTCCAGTGATTCCAACCTAAGCCAAATTAGAAGAGGCAGGCAGGCCACCTCCCAACAGAAGTAGCTTCTGTCAATGGCATCGTCTCTTTTAGCCCCTTTTTCACAGAGACTGGACGCATCCTGCCATGGCTGAAGGGGGCAGGGCCTCTTTTCTAGAAAAATCAGGTTCTCCCTTTTTCCTGCTGTCTCCGATCCCAGCATTTCCCTGTCAGGATAGCTGAATTTTTCTAAAATGTTTTAAATTTTGTTTTGATCTGGGTGTTTATTGTAGTGAAAAACACATAGAATTTACTATTTCAACTATTTTAAAATATATAATTCAGTGACGTTTAGTACAGTCACAATGTTATACAACTGTCACCACTCTACCTAGTTCCAAAATATTTTCATCACTTCAAAAGGAAACCGTGTACCCATTAAGCGAGTCGCTGTACATTCCCTGCTTCCCCAGCCCTTGGTGACCACTGATCTGTTTTCTCTGTGGATTTGACTTCTGGATGTTTCATATATAACTGGCTTTGCACAGTATGTGGCCTTTTGTGTTTGGCTGAGCTTTTTTTTTCACTTAACATAATTTTTTTTCAACATTCATTCATGTTGTAGCAAGTATCAATACTATGCCATTCCTTTTGATGGCTGAATAGTATTCCATTATATAAATATGCCAGTTCATTCAGTTGATGAACATTTGGATTATTTCTACTTTTTGGCAATTGTGAATAATGTTATGGATTTATCAAATTAATTTTTTTTTCTGTTTTGCTATTGTTTTCATAACTAAGAAATCTTTGCCAAGTCCAAGGTCATAAAGTTTTACCCATTTTCTTTCAAGAGTTTTACAGTTTTAGCTCTTACACGTAGGTCTTATCCATTTTGCATTAATTTTTTGTATGTGCTGTGAAGTAAGGGTCCAACTTTGTTCTTTTGCATGTGGGTATTCAACTGACCCTGCACATTTGTTGAAGAGACTATTCTTTACCCCATTGAATGGTCTTGGCATTTTGTCAAAAGGCAGCTGGCCATAGATGTATGGGTTTACAAGGTGTGTTTTTGTGAGAGAAGTTCATTACTGTCACCGAGGGATTTTATTGTCCTCAAGCATTTTGAAGGATGTTTTACTAATGTTGAACAGAATAGTGGCATTAACTGAGAAGGAATCCTCATCTTGTTACTACAGCTCTGTTCTCATTTTCATTTCTTTGTAAACATTTAGAGCCATCCTTTTGTATTCTTTGCCCTTTTACTACAGAATTCTAATGTTGAATTCTTTTTACCCTTGATAGACAGATGTACAGAAGATTTTAAGAAATGCAAGGAAACTACCTGAAAAAACACAGACATTCTATAAGGTGAGGCTGTCAGAATTACAGTGGAAGAGTGGGCCCTGGGATGTCTGGCAACAATAAATGGTTCACAATAAAGCATGGGGTAGCAGGGTGAACATGGACAAGGATTAGAAATGTGTAGCTTGTGTCCCAAGTTTTTTCATCAGTAAAATTGGTAGAAGTGGTAGGTCCATTGCTGCCCTAAAATCCAAGAATGGGAAATGTTTAAGGGCCTTGTTATGTGCAAAAGGACCTCTCTGTCTGTATTGATGCTGCCGTGAATGGCCAAGGAAGGAGCTGAAATGATGTGTAGGTCACAGCCCTTAACCCTCCCCACCACTCCCATGTGGGTATCCAGTCTGACCCTAGGTAGTCATTGTGACTTCCTGGGATGGTGATCCCAGAACATTCTTCATGTGCCAGAGTCTGCTTCCAGGAATGCCTTCTAAAATTGTACATTTATGAATTATAAAAGGATGGCCTCCCAGAATCATACCTAGTTAATCCAGAACCATTGGTGGAGGGAATAAAGTTATGAGTGGGATAGAGTGGGAGGGCATTTACGTTCACTTGTTTCTCCCATCCTTCTGGTAGTTGGCTCAAATTAAATTAAGTGGCAGTGTGAGGTATGCTATTGCCAATTATGTCCTAGCTTGCCAATCTTAAAATATAGTACACACAGCCAGCCCCAGGCTGACATCTCTTCAGAGAAAATACTTGCTACTTTGGGTGTTATCTTATTACCTTTATGTCACTGCTGTCTTCCAACCTAATTATGTAGCAAGCTGGTGAAATCAAGCAAGAGCAACCTTTGAGTTGAACCAGGCTGCTGCTCAGCCTGCCCCATCCTAACTGGAGCCTGTAATCCACACAGGCCCTTAGGACCACTCCTTGGCTGTAGTCTGTCTCCCATTTGCACAATCATCAGCTGTTTCTTCAAGATGGCACACGTACTTTAGCCACCTTCTGAACTTTTCACTTGTTAACAGAGAGTAGAGAGGTGGTCAAAAAGTTAATGTCTCTTTTCTGGTTTTATGTAATTTTGACACAGCAGAGCTGGAAAGGGTCTCTACCAGATGGCCGCACCAGTCCTGCAGTGGGCAAGGAAGAGGCTGTCCTCCTGCAGATGAGGCAACTGAGATCCAGAGAGGCCACCTGCTTGCCCAGATCACACTGCTAAGTAGTTTGAGGGGACACTTTGTCTTTCTGTGCCCCCACCCAGTACCCAACCTTTCTTTTTGTGGCAGTCTTTTGGGTCAGACTTCTTGACTCGTCCACAGGCCCCCTTCAAACATGGTCATTGTCACTCAGTCTGAGGCCCAGCCAGGGGCATCAGATGGTTAAGAGCCGTCTGAAGTTTGGGGCAAGCTTTTTCCACACCTAAGAGAGGAAAATAATCCTCCTGAAGAGTCATGAGTAAGTGAAATGATGTATGCAAAGAGCCTCACTGTGTTTGGCAGAAGCACTCACTGTGATGAAGACCTATTTCAGTCTGCTGTCTTCTCAGCTAGCTTTCTGACCACCTGTAGGGAGGAACCACTTCCCAGCCATGTCCTCACATTCTCCTGTTTTGGCATCTCTGTACAAGCATTTTTTCTCATACAAAAACGCTCACTTAAGTTTGGGCATCAAGGAGAAACTCATTCTGAGCTGAGCACTAAGAAAGTACATGATAAGGAAAATGCATTTCAGCAACATCGGTGTTTATCTTGTTTTAGGAGCTGAACCGTTTACGAAAGGCTGCCCTGGCCTTTGGTTTCCTGGACCTGCTCAAAGGGGTTGCTGACATGCTGGAAAGGGAGTGCACGTTGCTGCCCGACACAGCCCACCCCGACGCCGCATTTCAGCTGACCCACGCTGCCCAGCAGCTCAAGTTGGCCAGCACTGGCACCTCCGAGTACGCCGGGTATGACCACAACATCACACCTCTGCACACGGACTTCTCTGGGAGCAGCACGGAAAGAATGTGAAGCTGACCTCAGGAGCCTGCCTTCTTTTTTCATTTCAAGTGAAATGTTTTGGGGTAAAAACTGCCAGTCTGTTCACCTCTGTAATAGCCACCCAAACCTCCGTGAGGCTGCCTCAGAAGCACCACCTGCTGGTTTGAATGACTTTGCTAGAATCTGAGGATTCTGAAGGGTGGTCAGCTGCTTGGGCTTTGATTTTAGCTTTTTGGGGCTCAGTCTTTAAGCCCAAAAGACAACCATTGCTCCCATGAACACATCTCCTAGAAGCTTGAAGGACTGATGAGCACAGTCTACCCCACTTCCTCAGGAAACACACCAGCAGCAATTCTCTGGCTTCTGACAGGCATCTTCTCTTCTCTCCTGTCTCAACCATAAGGGCATTTTCAAGCTTCTGTCCTTGGAATGAGAAGCCCAGACTGTCTAGGACTTGGTAAGTACAAGTCTACGCCACCTAGTTTCAGAACTTTCCTTGGGACTTGGGCAAAAACTTGGTGGTAACCCAGAGGTGCTTTTGGTGTGTCTTGAGATACAGACTTTTAAACAGCAACCATAAATACATAAAATGATTCCCAATTCTTCAGTTTTTTAAAGAAAATAAAATACTTGATTTTCTATAAAATGGTACTACTGGGAAACGAATAGGTCTTTTACCTTTTGGTTTGTCCTATCACCTGAGTATAATTTCAGCTTCTGAGTGGCACAGCTTCATAAATCGTGAGCGTTCCTTGGGTTCCATAGTGAGTTCCTTGTTTCTCACACTGGTTAGGCCCCACTGCCTTAGCCACGCCCCATCAGCCCATCCTGGTAGGTTCTGACATCACTGCAGTCAGTTCTGGTACCGATTCATCAGCTGGCTTCATGATCTTAGGCAAGTCATGTGCCTTCTCCAAGCTTTATTTCATCATCAGTGCTTTTCAAATTACTCCAGACTTCCTACGGTACTTCCTCAGGCCTCAACCCAAGCAACCACTTTCAGTGTAACATGCTGAGCTGCTATATTATAATTTGTCTGAACAAGACTTTATCATTAACTAATTTGGAAACCACCAGACTAAATAAATTATCTTTAAACCCGAGTTTTTAGGATTTTGATTGTAAATGTTTAATAGAAATACACAATCTTGTTTTCTCAGCAATGAAGAGGTTTATAACAATCACTAAGAATGCAAGATTCTGCCACAAAGATGCAGCATAATCTGCCAAGCTGATCTGTCCAGTTACACATAGAAAGTCAGTTCAAAAAACAGAAGTTAATATAAACAAAGTGTTGACAGAAGTTACGGACATGCAGAATATCCTTCAGTGCAATGAACTTGTAAAAAAAAAAAATCAGCCAGTCTATGCTAATCAGATGTTTTTAGGTCAAACCAAGTTTCCATCTTGAGCTCAGAGAAACAGTGTAACTCATTGAGTCCCCTTCCCCGGAGGAACAAGAATGACAGAAAACTATCATGCCTTAAATACTTTTTAAGCATTACTTCTAACACTTATTTTATTGATTTATTTGGAATGTAGTAGAGGAAACTGATGTTTTTGATAGTGGCCAAACTTTATAATGTCTATTGGTGGGTTTCTTGCCAGGAATCTTTGTTAATGGACCAGCTGATGGTTCTCCAGCCAAGTTCTCACTCAGTGTTCACTATCCTACTGCAAACAGGTGAAACAGAAAAAAAGGTGTCAGTTTGACCTTTCTGACCCTTCAGCCATTTGGGTTCGGAATGCTTATGATCTCATTGTTTTCTAAGCAATATTTCATCTTCCTTTAGTGCTGAAAATAGTTGATTACCTAGGAGTGAAGTAAGTGATCATGGTGTTCCAAGGTTCTGACTAGTTTTTCTCAAGTCATTCTGTCCTTCCAGTGCCCACACAGATAAGAACTATAGTAACAGCTGTTAGGCCAAAAGATTCAGAGGTAATACGTCTTCTCTAGCTCCAGTTGGATTCAGAAATGTTTTATCAATGACTAAATCAAAATCCATTTTCAAAAAAATCAATGCCACCTCACCTAATAGTAACCCTTGGGAACAATATATTAGGCCCTGCCTGAGTCACTTTCACAACCTCCTATAGAGCAACATAATCTTTTTTTCCCACGAACAGCAGCTGAAAAGAACAAATCCCAGCTGTAAGAATAACCAGTTCCTGGTAGTAGGGTCATGACACTGAAGAAATATCTCTGCCCTACATGAAACTGACTGGACATGGAATGGGTGGAAGTAGGCCTTAGTCTTTTGGTGTCACTAACAGAATGTGCAAGACTAACCCTCATCAGATACCAGGAATCCATGTCATGCAAGTACTACATCAAGGTAATAGGGCAGTTCAGGAATGTTAGCGGGGAAAGGGAAGACAGCCTCACTGAGAATTTAACCATTTAACTTTAAAAAAAACGTTTACATCAGTACAAGAAGGTAAAACTGTAAGAATTAAAGATAGGCTCAAACTGGCAAGAAGTTATCTAAATCTCTATTTTCAGTGGATCTTTTTCTTTTTTTGTCCATAGCGCCGCCTGCGCTGTTTATAAAGATGACGGAAATTTACATATAACCCTGAAAAAGAAAAAGACCAATTAGAAATGAGAATCTCTCTTTGTTTATAAACAAAAGCACTTGGGGCAGGAATAGTCTCCAAGTACCTGCTTTTCACTTCCCACAGCACTGCCTATGCAGCTAGCTGCTCAGGAAGTACAACTTAGAATAAATTATTAACAATGCACTACAGACAACTCAGTTTTTCCCTAGTGTGTTGGCAATTTCTCCTCCCATATTTTAGTATGAATATTTTCAAACATACAAAAAGATTTAATCACCGTACACTGAACACCACCTAGATTTAAACTTTAACCTTTAATATGTTTACTTTATCAATACCAATTCCCCTCTCATTTTCGATGTATTTCAGTGTAAGCTGCAGATATCAGTACACTTCACCCCTGAATATTTCATTAATTAAGAATTCAGTATTCTTCTTTTTTCTTTTAAGGGAGATTTACATAAAATGAAATACACAAATATGAAGTATACAAACAACCCAATTTTTAATTCCAGGCTCTGCAATAACATGCATAAGCAATGGCCTAAAAGGTATAGAACACTTTTCTAAGCAGCAGAATTTAGTGAATTCGAAAACACAGGATTTCAGAGTCAGAAAAAAACTTCAATCCTATCTGACCACTGACTACTTCTGTGGCTTAGCTTAGTCTCACCTCAGTTTCCTCATTGTACAAGGTTAAAAATACTTGTTTTCCAGACTTACAGTGACAGAATGTGTATTTAGAAGAGCACTTTGATCTATATACAAATGTAGCTGGTTATACTGCTTTAAAATTTTTCAAATTTAGGATTTATTTCATTCTGAAGAATAAAAACTACTACTTCACTGTAGGCAGACCAAATATGAGAATAAACCTTGTAAGTCAGAGTATGTAACAACGTAACATGAAGAAAAGCTACTAGGGTTAGTGCACATTAAAATATGTCTACCTTTCTTTTAGTAAAATATGTTAAGGGTCTTTCCAATACTTATTCCTCTTTAACAGTTTAAGTACGCCCACTTTATGAAGCCTAGTTTCAGTAAAACTAGATTTATCCAGTAATGGAGGTCAAGAGTTTTTTTAATGAGTACATTTTCCCAACTGAAGCTTACTCCCTTCAAGGGCCAAACATTTTAACATTTTTGGTTAGAAATCTTTCTGAAATGGATTTAACCCTTTCTGAAACGAAGAGAATGGAATAGAAAAGAAGAAATGGAATAAAATCTAATCTTTGGCAAATGACCTACACCCGTAATGTCTGTTATTTAACTGTATTTCTGCCATGTGCTGAAACCCTAAGGGGCTCCTAAAGAGTGCAGTTCTCTTCTCCCCCGATACTAAATGACCAACACCACTGGGCTTTCTGGCTTCTCGGGTTTACCTTTTGAGGTCTTCCTTGAACTGTCTGGGGTGGCCAGCCTCCAGCATGGTCCCCAATGATCCCTACCTCCTGGTCTTTCATACCCCATGAAGTCTCCTCCCACACTGTTCTCAGTTGGTTTGTGTAACCAACAAAATATGGCAAAACTGTTGGTATGTCACTTCTGAGATGAGGTTTTAAAAGGCAGCATGGATGTGATAGAGGTGCTAATAAACACTACTGTATTACAGTAATGACAACTGTTACAACATATAATGTATCAAAACAACATTTCATATATCTTAAATTTACACAATGTTATAAAACAAACAGATCAATAAAAACAACTAAGATTTTTAAAAGGCACACACACACACACAAAAAAAAACCAGCAGTGTGTCTTCTGGCTCTCTCCAGATCACTTGCTCTAGGGGAAGGGAAGCCATGTCATGAGGAGCCATATATAAAGAAGTGATGTGGCAAGAAACGGAAGCCTCCCATCTACAGCTACATGTGTGCAATTGGAGCAGGTGCTCCAACCCCAGTCAGGTCTACTGAAACTATAGCCCCAGCTGAGCTAGCTGACTGAACCCTCATGAGGGACACTGAGCTAGGCTGCTACCTGACCCTCAGAAGCCACTAAGTTAGTAAATGTTTGTTGTCTTAAGCTGCAAAGTTTTGGGGTAATTTTGTTACACAGCAATAGATGTCTAATATACTATCTGATATCACATATCACATCCTTCTGTTGCTAGGAGGCCAGACTTATTTAGGGCCACCTCAAGAGTTTTGTCATCTAAAGCAGGAAGAAATATATAAATTGTATTAAAATGTGTTAGAACTTTGCCTAAAGTAAATAGTCCTTACAGTTAGGAAGGTTTTTAAATCTCTCATATTTGCAATAATTTGTGTTTCTTTTTCCTTTCTTTTAGTTTTTAGTTTTTAAGAATTAAGGCAAGATTTTATAATTTTATATAAAAGCAATAAATAAGCAGGTTTCACATAAGGAGCAGGGGGCTTTGCTATCGTTAGGCAGAAGGCTTTAGGTCATCTCTTGGCTGCTCAGAGGCCTTTCCTGCCTCCTTCCTAACTTCCTGCCTGTTGAACCACCACTGTAAACTCTGAATAAGGATGCTACTGAATTTAGTAAAATTCAAATGAGCTTCTTACTCTATTTTAAAGGAGCTTCTTACATTGTTTTCAAACATTATCTTATGCTGAATTCCCAATGACCAAAAGCACATAAGGAAAATAACCACTGGGGATTTGAAAGAAATACTTCCATACATAGCATATTCGCTTAGTGGGTCTGTTTTGCAAAGTAATCTTTCTCTAACTGTCTGCTGTTCTTTTGGAGATAAGAATCCTGATAGGGACTTCTAAAACTTTGACTCACTTAACTAACTCTCTAAGAAGTGATAGGAAAAAAGCCTCTTACAGAGCCAATACTTACCTAAAAATATCATGATAAGATAAATCTGAAGAAAAAAGGAAAATCTAACTTTGATTTTCACTGGGTATGGCAATGTGAAGCTGAATCTTCCTGTTTCATTGAACACTGGGATGGACTGGATCACTGAGACAGCTGAAAGCAGAAAAGAGAGCTTAATGAAATAGTCACGTTTAGTGACACAACCTTCTAACCCCTCAAAGCTTCAGTCTGGGTTTGTTGAAAATGCTTCCTCCTCCCTTTGTACAGATAACTCACGCCTCTTCCTTTTTCTGCTCCCCATTTTTCTAAGAGATAAGCCTCCAAGCCGACAACAGAAAGATGACTGAGGAACGGTCATTTGATAGCACTGGGCTTCAGTTTCCTATTCTGCAAAATTGAGAGAAAAATCCCTATCTGACTCACTCACTAGGTGTTCGTCAGAGTAAAATGAAATTATCAGTATGAACCTGCTTTGGATAAACAAAAAAATACCACATAAATAGGAGGCAGGCAGTACATGACCATGCAGCTTCCAAACCTTACAAAATGAGCAACTTTCCAGGAACAGTCTGGGTACCAGGATTATTATGGAAGAAAACCACTAGAAAGAAATTCTTGAAAAGTCCAAAGGTGACAGCGGGAAGAAGAAAGGCCTGGCCTATCAGCTTGGCTATCCCTTGGAGCGAAGCTATAAAACCTAGTGTTCCTGAAAAGTACCTTCCGCCAAACATCCCAGAGGATAAATGGGAATCCACACAGTGTAACGAAGCCAGGTGAGCACCTTCCAGTCCATATCCATGCAGGAAAGCATGTAGAAGGGGTACCTGTCGAGAATAAGGAATTCAGATGATGAGAGCCACTTCGGGTTCTGAATGCAACCCTAGAACATCATTCAGGAAGAAGGACTTCACGATGAGCTGCACAGGGCTTCTCCAGAGCAGAATCCTGAACGGTCCACCCCAAACCCCCATATGCTCCTCCCCTGTGTGGACTCTCTTTAATGACAGATTTAAGTTTCGGTCTCAAAGGACCCCTCTTTGGAATAGTTCAGAAGATGGCATGGATGCTCAGAAGTTTTTTGGCTTTATTGCTAGTTCTGATCTACATTCCAAGTAGGTAAGGGCGACAAACACTTAACCTCTGGATAAATGAATGTTACAAAATTAAAGTATGCAAAAGATCTACAATCAGACATCCTCTGAATCAGATGTAAGCTATTTAAGAAGAGATACCATTAAAGAAGAAATTTGTTTCTTCTCAAACAGTGAAAGTAAATATTAAGCATTTATAATCTCTTTCACCTTTGCAGCAAGTAGACTGTAAGACATAGTGGGTGCCACGGGATACAGACCGCAGTTAAGACACAATCAAGGGCTGCCACTACCTGTTTTCCCTCTCAGCTGTGCACTCTGTCAAAGTACCACCGACCTAGAGCTCAGAAGCCAATCTGTAAAATCCCTGCTCCACGTGACTGACAAGGGAAGAAGTATGGAGTATGCACAGTCTAGTTCAGAAGGATACATCTACTTTAATTGGATCATTTTTATTTTTAAGATATTTCTTCTATTGATAACTGAAAATGGAAGAATCAGGTAAGAGGTTGAGTCAAACTTCAGGAATCTAGTAGTAAAAGACTTGTTTCTACCATCCCTTCTAGAAGGCTGGTCTTCATTCATCCCATCCAGCCTGAATTGCTCCTTCAACCACAAATTTTTTCAGCCCTTTCAAGAATTTGCCCATGTGATGAGTCCTCTCTCTCCAACAAGGCAGCAAGATCCTGAAGGGTAAGACGGGTCATTCCTCTGCATCTGTCCTGCTCCCCAGTGCCCAGGCTGGTACAAATCCAATGGCTGCTTTAAAAAAAAAAAACTGTCTCACCTCTGCAGAGTACACAGACGCAGCTGGAACTCTCCGCACATGAAACCTTGATCTTGTCAAAGCAAACGAAGAAGACAGCAGTTCCCTCAAGAAGAGAGCTACTCGAGAGGCAGACACACTGAGACAGCATCCTGGTATTTCTACCCACCTGAAGATTTCAACTGTGCTCCACATATAAAACACAAAGAAAACCACAGCTTTGTTTTGCATTTCTTCCATGGTGCCAAGGATGATAAACAAAATGAAATTTCTTCCAAGAAGCTAATAAAAGGAGCCAAAAGAGAAAAAAGTTATATATATAAAACATATAAATGTGTTTATCTGACATTTAACTCCCCTAAATTCAAGGTAAATAGAAAAACACTGAGCTCAACTAGCTTGGTCCAGTATTGGAACAAGTTAAAAGTACTTCAACCAGTCTTTCCGGATAGATATGTGTATGTGTGCATGTTTGAGCATACGTAAATATTATCAAAAATAGTATATATTTCAAAATACGCACATTCAAAAACAGTTTAAAGAGTACCGGCAATGAACATTTGTATCTGCATAAGCCAAGTTAAGAAACAGAACACACCCACCACAAGTATTATGTGTTAAGTATTGGTGTTAACCATTCCACTGCCTTTCTATATAGGTTTACTGCTATGTATGTTGTATCCTATACACTATATTGTCTCACTTTGCCTGTTTTTAAACTTTCTGAAATCATGCTCTATGTATTATTCTGTGACTTGTTTCGTACTCATGTTATATTCCCAAGATTCATACATGTTGATGCATGTGGCATTGCCCAACTCCAGGAAGCTTCGCCACATTGTATTCTGTGTGACCGGCACTCCCTGGAGCTCTGCAGTGTGATGCTACTGAACCTGTCCCTTCCATCTTGCCCTAGAAATTCTATTTGTACTAGTCCTTGATAAACAAAACATACAAAAAATATCATTCCTTATTAGTGGGTCATTCACTGTCCTCTTTTATCTTTTAAACTGAACAAAATAGCCTCTTTCCAAGGACAGAAAACCTAGAAGTACCAGGGCTATTGCATTAACGCCCTTTACCATGCAATTGATAATATTAGAATGCTGGACTTGGTGGAGCAGGAAAGGCGGAACTAACTGTAAAGACATCGCTCCAGAAGACACCAAGCAACAACCACCTCGTTCTCCCTGAGTCTAGGGAGTGGCATTTAACGGCGTGCAATTGCATAGCTAGGAAACAGGGCAAGGCAAGGAAGCTGAAAGACTCTGACGCTCTGTTTCTGAGAGAATCTTTAAAATACAGGAAAACACAGATGTATGACCCACATGAGTCAAATGAGCCACCTTCACATATGAAATGAAGTCCCAAGTGAAAAGATTCCTAGGTACTGCACGCTCCATCTACCCAAGGAAGGAGAGCGCCTGTCTCTGCCTGAGGCTGAGGGTAGGCTTTCCTGCTCCTGCCTAAGAGTCAAGTTTCTCTTGTTTTAAAGCTCTTTTTATAACTGTGAGTTCATGAAGATGTTGTAAACAAGGAAACAGACCTGAAATGGCAAATGTCTACTTTGGAAAATAACCCTGAGACCTAAAATATCCCTTGTTCAGATAAAACAGTACTATTCCCATGCAAATAGGTATACTTTTACTAATTGAGACTTTTCAGCAAACTGTGGCATACCAACTAAATAAACGCTGGCATCTTTCACTCCCCACCCTTGAGCTCAACTATTCAATACCTGAATAAGAGAAGGTATCACTGGTGACTTAGTGACTCCAATCGCTGCATTGATAGTTTCCACAACTGACAGCATCTGGCAGAAATACATCATGTCAGCCATGGTGTGGAATGTGTCATAGAAGGACTCTATGAAACAAATATACATTAAGGGTAAATCAACTGGCAAATTCCAACAGAATTATTTCTCAAACTTGGTAACCCCTTACATGATAGGAATTTTAGGAATGGTATAATAAACATCCAGTCAGATTCAAGTTTGCTATCCAACTAAGCTGGAGGGGAAGAGGCCTGTGGGGTCATGAATAGTAAACCTCTACTGGTCACCAGAAAGTTAACACATACACCTTGTAGGCACCTTCTCATTTTAAAAGGTGAGAAAAAAAAGCATACCTAGACTTCATTTAGTTATATGCTGAAAAATCCATGTGTCAGGCACGGTAATTCTTTTCAGATCCATTTTCAAAACATTGTATTTATATATTTAATCTTAATAATTCTTATTCTGAGAATCTATCCTAAAATATCTAAAGTGAAAAAGCTTTAGGAACAAGGTTGGTCTCTGTAACATTATTTCTAAGTGTATTTAAATAGAAATGGTCTAAATGTCTACAAGTATGGAAACTTTGAGTCAATTACAGAATATCTACTTCATGGAATCTTATATAATAATTTTAAATGACAGTATTATTTACATGTTGTCAACAGATACAGTATCAATACTGAATGGCCCATAATATAAAATCCTTTACTTTTCTCACTGATCTTACTTGACATCCTGCATTCCTACAGTCCTCTTTGCAATGTTTCTCAACCAGGGCACTACTGACATTTTCAGTAGGACAAACAATTTTGGCAGGACAAACAACTGCAGAAAGTTTAGGATTCTGGGCTCCCTGTCTATTAAATACAAGTAATGCCTTTGAGGATACAGCAGTTTGGCCAGTTACCCACAAAGATGATACCTGTAGGAGCCTCAAGAGTATGGTTTAAATATTAGAATAAAAGTGGCCTTTGCAAAAACTAAAGAAAAACATCTAATATATTTACAAAAATGATCCACTTTATAATCCTGCTACAAAGTCAAATAATGAAATGAAGAATGATAGTGTTACTGTATAATTTTACCAGAAAAATTCCATCAGTAAGTTAGTTCAAACTTTGCCTATTCATTGAATAAATGCAAAATTACAATTACAATTTTGCTGCATATGATAAATTTATTTTCATAATTTTAAATGACCCTTTTCACAACAAAATCTTTTCCACCATTTACAATCAAATTCTGGTATCCTTTTTAAGGGGATTCACTTTAAGTGCTATTTATCCTGGAAATTATCTTTGAAAAATGAGAACCTCCCATTCTCAAGTACAAAGCTGTGACTTAAGATTTGGCATATGATAAACAAAAATTAGATCTTGTGGCTTTGCCTCTGATTTTTATGGGAAATTCACCCTTGTTTTAATTCAGGAATAAAAATATCATTTCTAAAATGATAGTTTAAAAGGATATTAATAATATAATTATACTATTGTAAAAACAAGGTACAAAATTGTATACACAATATAGTTATAATTTTAAACTCTAGGAGAAAAGAAAATTAAAAGGAACTGTATGGAAACATCAGTAGTGATGGACAGTGAGTGGCTTAGTCACCTTCCTGTTCTTCCCCCCAGGCCTCCACCCCAGTTTTCCCTAATTTTCCGCTTTCTTAAATCAGCACCTTTACTTTAATGATTTGGAAAAAAAAAAATTTTCTAAGTAGTAAAAGGCACTAATGTTTATTTAATTTTAAGGATTTAAATAGTAGTAGTATAAAATAGTATATTCTTTCTGGGCAGTATACATAAAAAATCCTTGAACAATTTGCCCTTTAGTCTTGCATTCCAGTTCAGGAGTTGTTCCTAAGGAAGTTATGTGGATCTGGAAAGATGACACCAAGCTACCAAGAATCTGTTGCTTTCATAGGATTATGATAGAGTTTTTGTTCTAAGTCTTTATTTTCTGATTTTTCTGTAATTAATACATTTTTATAACTAGAAAAAATTTTTTATTAAGAAAGTATTCCTTAACAAAGATCTAAACAAGCTCAAACAAGACTTTAGACATACACCCAAGAGTCTGCTGTTTCCTTCATGTAAGAAGTTTAGCAAGTACACATTTGTGTGAAAAAACAAGTATACAGATGGAATTCGCCATTCACCAACATCCTTTATTCAAAAGGAGAAAATTTCAAAGGGGAAACTATGCCCCCAGATGCCAGGCCACAGGTCCTTGCTACATCTTTGAGGACTGATGAGGGAAGAATTAAACCAAGAGCTCCATTCCAGTAGGTAAAAAAGGGGTTCAGAGCAAAAACAGAAATTACAAATCCAGGCAGCGTCCTTTAAACCCTCAAGATAACTCAGCAGCCACGGGACTGGACTGTCTAACAGCCAGCCGGCACTCAGAACCAATCTGTGATGGTATTTGTTGCAATTTTCCACTAACCTTCCATCCCCACATTGCTAACCTCAATATACTTTTAATCTTTAATGCTGTCTTGGCTGGGGTGTTTTTAGATATACAAGAATTTAAATATCTTATCTAGTCAAATATGACCTTTTTCTTTATGATTTCTTCTAACAATTTTAGGCTAGGAAGTCCTAAATAGGTATACTTTTACTAATTGAGACTTTTCAGCAAACTGTGGCATACCAACTAAATAAACGCTGGCATCTTTCACTCCCCACCCTTGAGCTCAACTATTCAATACCTGAATAAGAGAAGGTATCACTGGTGACTTAGTGACTCCAATCGCTGCATTGATAGTTTCCACAACTGACAGCATCTGGCAGAAATACATCATGTCAGCCATGGTGTGGAATGTGTCATAGAAGGACTCTATGAAACAAATATACATTAAGGGTAAATCAACTGGCAAATTCCAACAGAATTATTTCTCAAACTTGGTAACCCCTTACATGATAGGAATTTTAGGAATGGTATAATAAACATCCAGTCAGATTCAAGTTTGCTATCCAACTAAGCTGGAGGGGAAGAGGCCTGTGGGGTCATGAATAGTAAACCTCTACTGGTCACCAGAAAGTTAACACATACACCTTGTAGGCACCTTCTCATTTTAAAAGGTGAGAAAAAAAAGCATACCTAGACTTCATTTAGTTATATGCTGAAAAATCCATGTGTCAGGCACAGTAATTCTTTTCAGATCCATTTTCAAAACATTGTATTTATATATTTAATCTTAATAATTCTTATTCTGAGAATCTATCCTAAAATATCTAAAGTGAAAAAGCTTTAGGAACAAGGTTGGTCTCTGTAACATTATTTCTAAGTGTATTTAAATAGAAATGGTCTAAATGTCTACAAGTATAGAAACTTTGAGTCAATTACAGAATATCTACTTCATGGAATCTTATATAATAATTTTAAATGACAGTATTATTTACATGTTGTCAACAGATACAGTATCAATACTGAATGGCCCATAATATAAAATCCTTTACTTTTCTCACTGATCTTACTTGACATCCTGCATTCCTACAGTCCTCTTTGCAATGTTTCTCAACCAGGGCACTATTGACATTTTCAGTAGGACAAACAATTTTGGCAGGACAAACAACTGCAGAAAGTTTAGGATTCTGGGCTCCCTGTCTATTAAATACAAGTAATGCCTTTGAGGATACAGCAGTTTGGCCAGTTACCCACAAAGATGATACCTGTAGGAGCCTCAAGAGTATGGTTTAAATATTAGAATAAAAGTGGCCTTTGCAAAAACTAAAGAAAAACATCTAATATATTTACAAAAATGATCCACTTTATAATCCTGCTACAAAGTCAAATAATGAAATGAAGAATGATAGTGTTACTGTATAATTTTACCAGAAAAATTCCATCAGTAAGTTAGTTCAAACTTTGCCTATTCATTGAATAAATGCAAAATTACAATTACAATTTTGCTGCATATGATAAATTTATTTTCATAATTTTAAATGACCCTTTTCACAACAAAATCTTTTCCACCATTTACAATCAAATTCTGGTATCCTTTTTAAGGGGATTCACTTTAAGTGCTATTTATCCTGGAAATTATCTTTGAAAAATGAGAACCTCCCATTCTCAAGTACAAAGCTGTGACTTAAGATTTGGCATACGATAAACAAAAATTAGATCTTGTGGCTTTGCCTCTGATTTTTATGGGAAATTCACCCTTGTTTTAATTCAGGAATAAAAATATCATTTCTAAAATGATAGTTTAAAAGGATATTAATAATATAATTATACTATTGTAAAAACAAGGTACAAAATTGTATACACAATATAGTTATAATTTTAAACTCTAGGAGAAAAGAAAATTACAAGGAACTGTATGGAAACATCAGTAGTGATGGACAGTGAGTGGCTTATTCACCCTTCCTGTTCTTCCCCCCAGGCCTCCACCCCAGTTTTCCCTAATTTTCCGCTTTCTTAAATCAGCACCTTTACTCTAATGATTTGGAAAAAAAAATTTTTCTAAGTAGTAAAAGGCACTAATGTTAATTTAATTTTTAGGATTTAAATAGTAGTAGTATAAAATAGTATATTCTTTCTGGGCAGTATACATAAAAAATCCTTGAACAATTTGCCCTTTAGTCTTGCATTCCAGTTCAGGAGTTGTTCCTAAGGAAGTTATGTGGATCTGGAAAGATGACACCAAGCTACCAAGAATCTGTTGCTTTCATAGGATTATGATAGAGTTTTTGTTCTAAGTCTTTATTTTCTGATTTTTCTGTAATTAATACATTTTTATAACTAGAAAAAATTTTTTATTAAGAAAGTATTCCTTAACAAAGATCTAAACAAGCTCAAACAAGAGTTTAGACATACACCCAAGAGTCTGCTGTTTCCTTCATGTAAGAAGTTTAGCAAGTACACATTTGTGTGAAAAAACAAGTATACAGATGGAATTCGCCATTCACCAACATCCTTTATTCAAAAGGAGAAAATTTCAAAGGGGAAACTATGCCCCCAGATGCCAGGCCACAGGTCCTTGCTACATCTTTGAGGACTGATGAGGGAAGAATTAAACCAAGAGCTCCATTCCAGTAGGTAAAAAAGGGGTTCAGAGCAAAAACAGAAATTACAAATCCAGGCAGCGTCCTTTAAACCCTCAAGATAACTCAGCAGCCACGGGACTGGACTGTCTAACAGCCAGCCGGCACTCAGAACCAATCTGTGATGGTATTTGTTGCAATTTTCCACTAACCTTCCATCCCCACATTGCTAACCTCAATATACTTTTAATCTTTAATGCTGTCTTGGCTGGGGTGTTTTTAGATATACAAGAATTTAAATATCTTATCTAGTCAAATATGACCTTTTTCTTTATGATTTCTTCTAACAATTTTAGGCTAGGAAGTCCTAACCTTCCTCATGAGATTGTTATAAACATATATCTTCTATTACAATCTAACTTTTTGATACATGACTCTTAGATCCTTTAGGGGAATTAATGTTTTTATACAGTGTGGAAAGAGACGAACATTCCTTGCCTCCCTCCTGCACCCAAACTTTGCCAATTCTCCTTAGAAACATTAGTAGATTTCCCATCCAATAAAAAAGTATATTGAATAATAGTTCCATTTCTACTGATTCATGATTCCTTTTTCATCATATATCCAAATTGGATATAATTACATATAATGTAAGAGCTATTTCTAGGCCACCTAATCTGCTCTGTTGATAAGTCTATTTTTACACTAATGCTCTACTATTTTAACTATCATACTTCCACATCAGGTGAAATATCCAAGCTGCTTGTTTCACAAGATCATGGGAAGTAAGAGGCGTGAAAGAACGGTGAGAGGCATGAAGTGCTACACAAATATGGGGGGGTTATTATTAATACCAAAAGTGGAAACCTGTGAGTAATGGACCAAACTATTAAAAAAAGAAAACTAGTGTTTGAAATTTTCTACTTGCCTTTTCCCAAGATGAAGAATCGCACAGTCATGTTGACAAAGATCCAGGAGAATCCTAAGAACTGCACGAGATTATACATGAACAGGTACCCCTTCTTCAAGCTGGTGAGAGCTGGGGAGCAAAGGAAGGAGCGCACTGAGGACAAGAGCTGCAGCAGGGGGGGCGTCTGGGCGCACCTGCACTTCACCCCTCTCTCCTCCTAGGGGCCCTACGTTCCCAAACAAATACCTGGCCCAGGTCTCCACCAGCCTGGGTTCCTGGTCCCATGGAGAAACAGACAAGGAGAAGTTATAAGGAACACTGTACTCCAAGGCATGTTTTCAGCAATCTTTCCCTCACATCCTTAAAGGGTAAGTACACAGACATAACAAATTCAAGAAGAAAACAGAAAAATCACTTCTGGCAAAGAATGACTAACCATATTAGGAGTCATTAAAGAAGGGAAGTAAAAAAAAAAAAAAAGAAGGGAAGTAAAGCTATACTCAGGTCCTACCCTTGTCACCTTAATATAATCTAGTTTTTTTCCTTTTCTGGGATTTCTTTAAGGTCATGCAGGTCAAACTAGCTCAAACACACAGAAACAGTAATGAAAAAAATTCAGATATTTGTTCATACATATTTTCATTCAAACAAGCATTAACTGAACACTTACAATGTGCAAGATACTGAGGGCACTACTGGGATCCAAAGATGGTTAAGACATGATACCACCCTCAGAGAACTTACAGCCTACAAACCATAATACAAGATAAAGAGTGAAAGGTGAAAATTTCAAGGTGAGAAAATGCCATTAGGCTGGGAAAGTGGGAAGCGGGCAGGTCTGCAGAGATGGGATGTCTGATCTGGTTTGGAAGATGGGCAGAAGAAGAATATAACCAAAGGAAGAAAATTACAAACTGAGAGGAGAAAAAGGAACACTAATTTTTGTCTGCAGCCTAAGATTCATGAAAACACAGCAATTACAGAGTTAAGGAAAGAAGTATGGGTCTTAGAGTCATGGCTGAGTCAAAGGAGAAGGGCAAAGAAAAGGATTATTCTCACTACGGAGTTCAGATTTTACTGCTTCGTATTTATTCCCAGGCTACAGATATTCTGCATACACGCTCGGCTGATGCTCACATAATCACTGAACAGTGTGGCGAATCAAAAGCAACCTGTCCTAAGGAGCCAACAAAGTCACACTTTGAGCAATATTTAACTAAATTTTTTTCTTTATAACTACAGAAATATATTACACTTCATCATCATAAAGAACTTCTCTCACAAGGAAACCATGAAGTTAAACAAAACAAAGCTTTATCCAACATCCTAAAAATTCATATATAAGAATCTGTACATATTTTTGAAGTTTATCCCTCTAAAACACCAAAAAATTAATTGAAGTCTCAAGGTGTCCTTTTTATGTTGTAGTCACTCATTACCTCCACTAATCCTCTCCCCTCTGTTGCTTTCCTAAAGGAATATTCTTCTAAATTAGTAGTTATTCAAATGTTTTTCTAAGGCAATGAAACCTCCTTTCAAAGGAAACTTCATTCAGAATGCTAATAGATAAAACACAAAGCAGAGCTGCTCTGACTCAAGTGGACCTGCTTGTTTGGCTTATCCCTCCAAAGCATCTCTGGGAGTCCTTGGGGTACCACAAAACATGGTTTGAAAACCACTGCTCTAAAACCTTCCCCTTCCTTACTTATGGCATGCCAAAGCAGTGACACTACAACCTGAAAAGCTACAGACAAATGAAGAACCCCTATTTTATTCTGCTTTTCAATGTTAGTTTTATACAGAATGTAAACTCTTAGAGCACAGAGGCTCTATTCATTGGCGCTATTCATTCATGAATTCATTGGCTCCACCCTCAAAGGCCTAGTACAGTGTTTTCCATGTAGTATGAATTTAATAGATAGCTGCTGAATGGAATCTTTGTCACTCAGAAGATAATACAGAGCTTCTTGTTAAGTAGTTGGACAGATAGAAATGGGTTTTTTAAGGTTGTCAACCACAATTATCTTTGGCACAGCCCTTAAGATCTCAGCTGGGAGAAAAACAGCAGGCTAGGTGGTATAGCCTTGGACCTATGTGGTATTTGCACATGTCCATGTGGTACTTACTGCCAGCTAACATTAGGCCAGTCCATTCTCCTACACCAGCTTTGGTGTACTCAGATGATGGCAGGCTCCAAACACAAGGGAAACATTAAAAATAAGGCTTCTGATGTGGGTATGCACAGCTTAAGCACTGGATATTAAGGATTTCTCAACTCACCCACACCATATTAGCTCTCCTGCCACCTCACACCCATCCACGCCCCCATCTCTATCGTAAGTTAACTAGGAACAACCATAGCAGCAGGGCAACTTACTTTCAGGAGAGCCTTGGCTTTCAATCCTGAGTTTATTTAGGCGTTCTTCTTCCTAGAATTTGGACAGAAATTTTCCAAGAACACAAGTTAGAAATCCTAGATGCCTGCAAAAGTCCACATGCTGGATAAGTGATCTGACTCCTTCAAAGCCACATCCACCAATTGTATTCATGCTTCACTGGTGAAACTGTCCCAGTTCACAGGGCCAAAAACCTGACTCCTCTTTACTGGGTAGCACTAGCATCATAGAATGCCCATCCAGTGTTCAGAGAGTTCAACCAATCAGCTAGCTTCCAAACTACAAAGTGGGTAGTATTGGAGTCTTACAGCTAGGAGATATCCAGAAGATTTCTCACAGTTGTAGAAATAAAACAAAATTGTAAGGCAGGAAATACATTGCTATTTTACTTTCTAAGACTATTATTTCTACATTTTCAGTATTTTTTTCCAGAAGCTAAAATCCTAACTCTAACATCAGTATGAACTCCTATTAAGTCAATACAGATTCAGATGAATACATACAGATATATACATAAACACATAGGCAAGTATGCACACATACATTTCCTGTTCTGTCAGCTGAAAGGGGCTAGAAGCAGTGACACCCCAGCAGCAATGAGCATACCTAGAACGTGGATCTAGGTTTCCACTCACATTCTCCAACAAAAAAACACAGCTCCTTGACACATGGCTACTTCTAGGGCTGGAGCAGGGCATATACAAGATAAGCCTGGAGCAGCTTATATAGTGCCAAAAAAAAGGTCTCAATGATGGAGCTTTGTCAAAGGGACGTAAGAGCCAAGTGAAAGATCTTCCATGGCCAAAGCTGGAGCCATTTGAACACCAAAATAGACAACACAGTATTGGATCACAACCCAAGCTATAAAATATTCATGCATCCATACTGATATAAATAAATGATTGACTAAATAAATGGGAGAAAACAGAAGTCTCCATGCAGAAGAATTCCAAATAAATTAGGTAGACATTCCACCCTAAGGCTGGGAAGCATAACTCCCCACTCCTTAAGCATGGGTAGTCCTTCCAAAGAGGACAGTAAGGGCGGAAGGAGGAGTGACTTGGCGGAGAAGGAGCCTGACGCACAATACCCCAGCCAGATGGCCGAGAGTAACCACAGTGATAAGTCATGGTGACAGTGTGTACCCTTGATAGGACATGATAAGAATGAAACCTCTGGTCTCCCTCCCCAAAAACCCATCACCCTAGTCTCATCATGAGAAAAACATTAAACAAATCCCAACTGAGAGACAGTGTACAAAATACACGCAGCTATAAAACCATGTCTCCAGTTCTTTTAACTGAACTTGTAACTTTGTCCTTATTCTATCAGATCCTCATAGGTATCTGAGGTGGCCCAAAGAATTCCTCATGATTTTCGTCTAGATCCTAGGGTCCTTACTGACCTTGGCTCTGAGCTCCATTTCCGCATCCGACTCATCCAGCCAGCGATCAAAGTCAGGGGCCAAAAACAGTGGACGTTTCTCCTGCTTGGTAAGCCTCTCCCACCACTGACTCACCTTCTTCTGTACTGTAATGTTTACCTGCCTCTGGGTCAGTTTGTAAACCGGCTAGGAGAGAAAGAGAGAATGTGAGACTACCCTCTCCTTCCCATCCCCAGCTACGACCCCTGAAACTGCACCAAGACAGTGTGGCTACACAGAGAAGCTGCACAAAGCTTTCTCTCCTTCCTTCTTGGTTCCTTCAAGTCCCGATACAAACAGAACACCTAGACCAAAGTCTGGTAAAGGGAAGAACTGGTAAGAACAGCACTTTCTTTCTCTGATTACCACAATGAATGACACAGAGGAAATCAGGGTAAGAAAGGCAGATAGAGGAAACTAGACGAACCTCCTGCCAGATCTACAGCATGCAGAGCACCAAATCCAATCAATCACTCTCTCAAGTGCATCCTTGCCTCCAAACTTTCCTCCCATGAAGATGAGAGAGTTCAAATGGTCAGCGGTCTCTGGCATAAACAGTCCTTGCTTCAGAAAGGTCTAATGAAGGCCAGAACAGTACAGGGTCAGTCACACTTGTTCACGTGGTCAGCCTAGGGAGTCTTCCCAACTAAACTCAAATTCTTAGAAGCTGTCCCATTCATTATTCCTCTACACAGACTCTCCCTCTGCCTCCCAGGCAAGGCCCATGACAGGTTTTCTTCCCCTTAAGCCACAGCTGACTACTAAAACAACCAAAATAAGTGAGCCATTCTGCAGAGAAAGTTTAGTATGCTCAAGCCCCCAGAGAAAAGAGGGTAATTCCAGAAATGAAATACACCATGTGGGATCCTCTCCCTTCCTGTTAGAGAAGCTTCCTCAAGCTCTGACAGAAGAGAAACTTTAATTATACTTCCAGCATTCTTTCTAAAGATCAGCTGCCTCAGGCTTTTCTGATTTCTATTGACTCTGAGGCAAAGTCATATGAAAGTAAACCGTGGCGTGGACTTCACCTACCCTATATGACTCTGTTCTCTATGGCTGCCATACTCCTTGGTCATCACAAGAACCAGAGAGAATCAGAGCTGGAAAGGGCCTTAGAGATCACTTAGTCCAGTTCTTCACTTAACACATGAGGAAACTGAAACTCAAAGAAGTGAAGAGACTTGTTTACACTGCTAATAAATAGCAGAGCTCAGATTCACCTCAGGCTCTCTGACTTTCCCATTTCTCTGCACCTGGGCTCTGTTCCAAATAAAAGAACTATATTCTCCTTTGGTATTTACCTTCTTTCCCACAACCCCTGCTCCCACTTCACTAAACTAACCAATATTTATTTCCTAAAATGGAGAGGGAAGAGAGAAAGGAAAGAACATACCTCTGGCTTCACAAGGTCTAAAAACTCCAAGTGAAATTCATAGACATTGTCTCCTTTGGCACCGTGTCCTTGAGCTATAAAGAAAGAAATGTAGATTACTGTGAATAAAAGCAGAGCAAAAAGTTTATGCAGTTCTTTCAGAAGTATACAAGTATTAATGGATCCTGCCAAAATGAGTGGGGACTTGTGAGCACAGTTACTCAGCAGCTGGGTAAGCTAAATCCTGAGCAAATGTTAACCTACATACATCCTTCTGATGATCAGTTCCAGAATCTTTACTTAATCTTCCAACATGGCCTTGATGATGCCCAGAACAAATAACACACTGGAAAAAGAATACAGAAAGCAAAGCCAAAGATACACATTTAACTTTCACATTGACTTTGGCACTGAACCCACAGTAGATAAAAATCAGGTGGGTGTATTATCTTGACTATGATGAAATAGTTGTAGGGTATGTGGAAACGCTGATTATTTCAAGGAAAGCTCTGAATCTAACCCCGCCTCCACCAACTAAGGATAGAAAATGGAGAAGGTAACTTCTCTTTTAGCACATCCCAATGGAAAAATAAGAGAAATAAAATTTTTCTCAGTTCATTCTTGAGAGGACAAATGGAAGTGGGAAGAAAGTCCTTGGGTTGAGCCTTCTACCATCCCTGTGCGTTGACAGGTTCTCTTCCCCAAACCAAGCAGGTACCATGCCTAGGCACCAGTGCCTACCGGACATCCTTTCCCCTCCAACTTGTCACTTGTCAGTCATTTAGCTCCCTCCTGGGATTCTCGTTCCTCGTCTGGCCATATGTGGTATAACTCACCTACTATTTGCTACAGATGGGTATTGTTCTCTAAGGTCATAAATTCCTTAAGGGAGGAGTCTATAAGATATATTTTTATCACTTTAACTTCCTTGCACATGCTTAACTCTCAAAAAATCTGAGCTGCTACTCTTCTTGAAAAATAGATACAAAAGCCAGGCTGTGCTTTTATGCAGCATATTAAGGTAGATGGGCTCTCCTGTAAGTAGAAGCCCCTCGATATCCCATAACCCCAGTCACTTACTAATGACATTCCAAGGAACCAGAAGAGAGAGAGAGTAGGGAGAATTCCCACCGCGCTGGGTGCCAGTGAATCCAGACCTACCTGCTCAGGCACAGGAGCAAATCTGTTAACTAACTGAGGAGAAAAGAGATGGAGGCAGATCCACGGAATCAAAAACTGTCAGAGCTAGAAAGGCTGCAGGTATCATCTAGAGTGCAGTGCTTCTCAACTGCTCTGTAAGTGTAATACCAGGAAGCCACAAAGTCTCATTAAGAAAATTTCTATTTTTCAGTTCTCATTATAATTTAAAAAGAAAAAAAAAAGCTGCAGCGTATTCTGGATCAAGTAGATGGCTGCCTTATAATCAAGTACTGCCACACAAGTTCAGAGGCTGTGTTTGTGTCTGTGTTCACAGCTAAAGTGGGGCTAATATTACTTAAAGTAACTCAATACGTTTCTCAACCTGGGGTCCTCAGTCTGGCTCTAGAGGATACTGAGGACATATTCTCAGGTGTCCTTGGGTCCCCAAGTTAGAGAAACATAGATTATAAACTAATACTCTCATTTTATAGGTCCAGAGAATTCAAGTTGTCCAAGGTCGTACAGCTGAAAGACAGAAATCCTGATTTCTAACCCAAGATTCTTTTTTGCTGTATCTACTGCCTCTCCAAGGGGAAAGCAGAATTTTAAACAAGCTCGCTGACTTTTATAATGATACATTTCAAACCAATCTAGTTCACCCCAAGAGTTTCAAAGAGGTGAGGATCAACAGAAAGTGAACAAACAAGTAAGTAAAAATAAAAAGAAACCACCACCATGCCTCTTCAACTACTTGGAGAGCTGGGAGCATTTGCTCGGATACTCACCTTTGAAATGCAGCACGTTTTCAGTGATGCTTATGGCAGGATTCTGTGAAGAGAGACCAAAGATGCAAGAAGGGCATTTTAATGTAAAGAAAAATGAAATTAAAACTAGGGACTTACTTCTTTCCCTCTTGGGAATTCAACTTCCTACTCCGTGCCTCCCTCCCCCAGAGAATATATTTAGTAGTTTATCCACATCTCTGTGTGGGGTTTCTCTATGTCTATTTGTACCCATCTGAGATTGTAGGCTCCTGCAAGAACCCAAAGCTGCTCTAACGGTGTGGAACAATCAGACACTGAGTCGGCGCATTCTTATAATGGCAAATGATGCAAGGGCTGTATGAGATGTTAAGGCGGGGGGAATACACAAATCTCTAAGACTCAGTCTCGGAGCTGTTGAGGCAGAGAATCTAGTAACACAGATGAGTCATTTCCTGTGAGAAGACATAAAATAGTATCAAATAGCATATGCTCAAGACCAACAGAATAGTAAAAAGAGTGAGTGTTATATATAGGCGTTAAGAAGAGAGTGAACTCAGTGAGAATAGAATGGCTTCACCACAGATGAGACCCGTATTGCAACTTGAAGAATAAACTAATCCCAGGAGGCAGAGAGAAGAGCTGAGGATTACAGGTGGCTGGATGAAAATGAAACATGTGGTAATTTAACCTCAGGCTCCACACTTTCTTAACTCCCATTCAAATCAAGACTAGAAAAGATCAAAATTCTCCAAACTGTTCATTTGTTCCCAGAAGTTGCCACATGCCTTTTTTAGCAGCAAAATTAATTAAAGTCAAACTACTTTATTTTTTCAATGGATGAAAAACCACTCACCTTCTACCTCCCAACTCAAAGTTAATAAGCAAGAAGCAGCAAGTCTCTAGTGCCATTACGAGTTCACTTATTTTTCTCCTATATAGGCTCAGCTCTCTGTGCCTCATCGTGCATTCAAGGAAACCAACAAGACAGAAGGTTGGAGAGGGGGTGCACTAATGGGTGGTGGGAACCTAGATGTTCTACGCATAGCCGCAAGTATAAGAAAAGGGAAGAACATTTGAGCCAAGCCTTATGTTAAGAACCTCCCCAGTGAGAATACAGACTTCAGGCTGAGAAGCTCACCCAAAGGGGACAAAAATCTAGATAATCTTCTCTGTGCAGACGGAGGGAGTTAGGGAACCTCATCAAAATGGCTACACTTCCAGGAGCATGTTTCTCCAGTAAAGGATACAGGGTTTTGATATAAATACCATGAAAGCAGAACTCTGGGGTAAGTCTTCGAAGTAAATTTTCTACCTATGTCATTTTTTGCCCAACTCTGTGTATTCCCCATACTCTAATGCTTTGGAAGGAAAAAGAGGTTTGGGGGCTGGGTTTATTCTCCTCAGACATATAGATTCATGCAACCAAGATTTAAGTTAGACAGTCCAGATGTAGCACAAACCTGAGTTCTCCCAGCATTTCAGGGGGCCAGACTTCAGATGCTACCTAAGCAGAGACATCTGCCCAGCAGTGTACTAGCCATGTGTGGGTTAAATTGTTAACATTTCCAGAGTATCTCGCCTGGGTTTAGTGCATTTGCATATTCTCAGGCGTGGAGAGAAGTTCATCTCCATGTCAATGGGTAATGAATTACCTGGGCAACCGAGGGCGTGTCTGAACCTGAAAGTTTAAGGGGGGGAGCTGGCTTGCTTGCCCGCTTCCTTCTGGAGCAGGGGAGACGCTGCTGGACTGCAGTTTGTAAGCAATAAATGGGTTTTAAACTTTATATTTCTCCCTTTGACTGATTTCAGTTTTTAGAGGTATTTTGCCTGGGATTTCCCTCCCCCAGACTTACAGCATGTCAGGTTCAGTAACTACTAAGAGAATTGAAATTAAATCAATTCACCCCATTTTCACAATGTCTGACAAACCTACAGAGTTCAATAAACTATCTGCTACCCAATTATTTAGACAACAGTTTCTTTCTCATCCAAATTGTTACTGCTTAGCTTTGTGCCTGTGTGTGATTAGTATGTGCACAGAAAAGAACATGAGGCTGCTATCCTTAAAAGGGACTTAATATATGATAAAGGAGTCATGGACATACAATGGGGAAATGACAGCCTCATCAACAAATGGTGTTGGCAAAACTGGACAGCTACATGTAAGAGAATGAAACTGGATTATTGTTTAACCCCATATACAAAAGTAAACTCGAAATGGGTTAAAGACTTGAATGTAAGTCATGAAACCATAAAACTCTTAGAAGACAATATAGGCAAACATCTCCTGAAGATAAGCATGAGCAACTTCTTCCTGAACCCATCTCCTCGAGGAAGGGAAACAAAAGCAAAAATGAACTCACGGGACTACATCAAACTAAGAAGTTTCTGTGCAGCAAAGGACACCTCAACAGAACAAAAAGGCATCCTACAGTATGGGAGAATATATTTGTAAATGACATATCTGACAAGGGGTTAACATCCAAAATATATAAAGAACTTACATGCCTCAACACCCAAAAAACAAATAACCCAATTAACAAATGGGCAGAGGATATGAAGAGACAGGTCCCCAAAGAAGAAATCCAGGTGGCCAACAGGCACATGAAAAGATGTTCCACATCACTAATCACCAGGGAAATGCAAATTAAAACCACAATGAGATATCGCCTCACACCAGTTAGGATGGCCAGCATCAAAAAGACTAAGAACAACAAATGCTGGTGAGGATGAGGAGAAAGGGGAACCCTCCTACACTGCTGGTGGGAATGTAAGCTAGTTCAACCATTGTGGAAAGCAATATGAAGGTTCCTCAAAAAACTAAAAATAGAAATACCATTTGACCCCGGAATCCCACTCCTTGGAATTTACCCAAAGAATACAATTTCTCAGATTCAAAAAGACATGCACCCCTATGTTTATTGCAGCACTTTTTACAATAGCCAAGATATGGAAGCAACCTAAGTATCCATCAGTAGATGAATGGATAAAGAAGATGTGGTACATATACACAATGGAATACTATTCAGCTGTAAGAAAGAAATCCTACCATTTGCAACATCATGGATGGAGCTGGAGGACATTATGCTCAGTGAAATAAGCCAGGCAGAGAAAGACAAATGCCAAATGATTTCCCTCATTTGTGGAGTATAACAATGAAGCAAAACTGAAGGAATACAATGGCAGCAGGCTCACAGACTCCAAGAATGAACTAGTGGTTACCAAAGGGGAGGGGTGAGGGAGGGCAGGCGGGGAGGGAGGGAGAAGGGGACTGAGGGGTATTATGTTTAGTACACATGGTGTGGGGATCACGGGGAGAACAGTGTAGCACAGAGGAGAACAGTGTAGCACAGAGAAGGGACATAGTGGATCTGTGGCATCTTACTACACTGATGGACAGTGACTGCACTGGGGTATGGGTGGGGACTTGATAATATGGGTAAATGTAATAACCACATTGTTTTTTCATGTGAAACCTTCATAAGAGTGTATATCAATCATACCTTAATAAAAAAAAAGGGACTATTTTCAAGATCAGCCCTTGGTCAGCCACTGGGAATCTGGCATCACGACACTTCACCCCTAAATATTTCAGCATGCTTCACCTAAAAATATGCTTGTTTTCTTACATAATTACCACAATTTTCTCATGTTTAAGAACAATAATTTTATATAATCTAATAAACAGTCTATATTCAAACAACTGTCTGAAAAGGGTTTACTTGTTTCAGTTATCTCCTGGAATGCAAAGAACACCTTAAAACTTGATGGCTGAAAACAACCATTTGATTATCTTAACCTAATTGGGCTCAGCTAAACAGTTATGCTCCATCTGCTGTTGGCTAGGACTACAGTATATTGGGCTGGAACATCCGAGATGTGGCCCAGAGTTGATGCTGGTTGTCATCTGGGAGCTCAGCTGGGACTGCAGACCAGAACATCTACATGTGATCTCTCCTTGTGGTCTGGGTTTCTCCCTGCAGGGTTGCTGAGATCTGGGAAGGAATGTCCCAAGAGCATGTTCCAAGGGAGGAAGCAGAAGCTGGCAGTCCTCTTAGAAAGGTTAGGCCTGGAACTGGCCGTGACATCATTCTGCAGCGTTCTATTTGTTAAGCTGCCACAGCACCTGCCCAGAGGGCTCTTCAAAGAAAGAAGAAATAAACTCCACAGTAAAGGTTCATAATTTCACTGAACTGTCATAAGTTAATGTAATGCAGGCTTCTCTTTTGTTACTTTTAATCCATGCCAATTGTCTTGGGAAATATATCACATTTGGGATTTGCCTGGACTTTCCTTCATATTACTCATTTTTGAAAAGAATATTTCATAGGTTATATGCTTATATGGGGTACTTCTTAAGGAATCATAAGAGGCGGCCCATACTGTCAGATGGTGATGCTAAGCTTCATGAGGGCAGGGGCTTGTCTGCCTTGCTCATGCCCAAGTCCCAGAGTCTGGGAGACTACCAAGCACACAATAAGCATTTACATATATTTGTTGAATAAGTTAAGTGTAAAACTATGAGGTGTTTTCATTTTAAAAAATCTGACTTCCAACTTCTCTTTCATAAATGAGAAGAATTGGATGCCAGCCTCAAATCTGCATTCTTACAGAGCAATAGCTACCCCTTAAAATGAACCCTATCGCTTCCAATTAATCATATTGCCCACCGAGCTTACTTCACTAATATTTATTGAGCACTCACTATATGCCAGGTATGTTTCAAAGTGTTTCACACTACTAGCTCACCAAAAACAAAACCCTATAAAATAGGTAGTTATTATAACAATCTTACAAATACAGAAACTGAGGCCTACAGAAGTTACACAACTTGCCTGAGATTACAAAATCAGCAGGTGACAAAACCAAGATTTAAACCAAGGCAAAAGACTCCCAGGTGCCTAAGCACACCATATTTGGGCATTTGAGCTGATAACTTCCAATCCTATATGCTCTTCCTGGGTGATCTCATCCTGTCTCAGGGGTTTAAATACTAACTTATTAACCAACAACTCCAAAATTGGCTATATTTCATCAATTTTAAAGTGCACACTTTTCCACAGT